TATCTCATATATGCCCTGCCCACCAGAGACGAGGGTCTGATATTCTAGGAGTGACCCCAGTCAGTGCCAATCAACATAAATAAATCTGTCTCCAAACCCTGAATGTCTTCTCCACTTGCCGCTGCATCTGGTGTGTCAGCTAGAAAGACCAACCATGCTGACCTCTTTGGTCACCAGTCGTGGCTCTCACAGAGCAAGGTCCTCTCTAGGACCTAATAGGAAGGTGCACCCTCAAGATTTCTCAAGTCCCTGACTGAGGAAAAGGGTTTTTGGCAGAGATAAAAATGAAAGCAGGGGCCGAGGAGATAGCTCAGTGGAATAAGCACTTGCCTGGCAAGCAAAAGGACTTGAGTTCAATCCCTGGTCCCGCAAAAAAAAAAAAAAAAGAAAAAAGAAAGCAAATTGCTCCCTGTATTTTAAAGGAAGAAAAAGGAAGAGGCCCATCCTTCCTGAAAATTCTGCCCTGGCACCCTCGTCAGCTGCCACAGTTGTTACCCACACCTATAACTTCACTCCCCACTCCTGACTCATCTACTCTCAGCCAACAGAACTGGTTACAGCCAGCCTTGCCTGCACTTGGCCACAAAGCCCCTTCCTCCAGAGCCTTCTGCTATAAACCTATCCTGATCAGATGGTGTCATCTGATGCCCACCCAGGATGACTGCCAACAATTCCTTCTGGGTTCCACATTTTGATTGAGGAAGTGGACAGTCAGCCCCCAAAAATGAGTTGCTCCCTGTCAGGCCTTGTAGGGCAGACCAAGCTCTATCAAACTGGGCTCCCAAGAGCCTTCAGTCATTGCAAAAGTTGGGGGTAAACCTGCGAATTTCCTGATAAGACAATGGAACAGAACTCTCTGCCTTCAAAAGTCTCCTCTGTCAGAAAGTTATCACCAGGGGGCCGGGGAGATGGCTCAGTGGAGTAAGTGCTTCCCTGGCAAGCACAAGGGCCCTAGTTCAATCCCCGGTTCCACAAAAAAGAAAGAAAGAAAGAAAGTTATCACCACTGGAGCACTGGGACTCCATCCTCTCACCCTTTCTGCCAGGCACAAACTTACAACGCACAAGCATATCTCCTTTGCACCAAGCCAGTCAGCCTCCCTCTCACTGAACCCTACACTTTCAACTTCGCCCATTTCCCAAGAGAAGGATGATGCCTGCATCAACCTGAGACAGGTAACTGCAATCCTGACATTGTGAACTCTCCTCCCAAAGGTGTAAACACTCACCTCTGGGCATGGCCATCAACCATGCTGTCTCACTGTGAACCCCCATTGCTGTCAGATGTCATGGGAGGCACAAATAGGCATCCAGCCACCCATCAGCCTGTTAATCACCTTGAGCAAGAACTCGGGCTGTCTGACCCACAACCCCTTTCTGGATTTAAAAGATGCCTTCTTCTGCTTGCAAGTTGTCCTGGCAGAGGGGAAAGCAGCCCTTACTGAATGCAAGTATCTGCACAGGGGGCTGGCCACGCTGGGTGCTCCAGGGGTGGACAGTCTGAGTTGGCATAGTTTTTGTGAACTCAGGGATCCAGATTCTATAGCGGCTAAGCCCCTTCAACTGGGAAGATCCTGAAATAAAAGACCAGCTTACTTGGACTCCACTGCACAAAAACAACTCTGTTTTCAGGAAGGCTGTATCAACAGACATGGTCAAGCCACCAGCACCTTTTCTCTGAGATTTCTCTGTCCCTTCCAGCTCTGTCATGGTCCCCCAAGCCAACAGTATAAACTATTAAACTGCTACAATAGGCCTTTACTGCCTGAAAAGCCACTTTAAGATCTCCACGCTACCCATGCCACCATGACTGACCTCCATATGTGCTGCCTCAGTCTTCTGCCACTGTAGCCTGCTGGTACACCTGCCTGGACCTAAAGAATGCCTTCTTCTGCCTTTGACTGGCTCCTGGCAGCCAGCCTTGACCTGGACTCAACCTCCCAGAGGTTCAAAAACTTGTTCCCTTTTTAAACAGCACTTTCTATTAATGGCACTTCCGAGCTGCCTGCTAGAAAGACACACAAGCTCTGCTGCAATATCTGGCAGAAACTGGTTACAAGAAAGAAACTCCATGAAGTTTTTGGAGCTGCTGGCTTCTATAGAATTTGGATCCCTGAGTTCACAAAAACTATGCCAACTCAGACTGTCCGCCCCTAGGAGCACCCAGCATGGCTGGCCACCTGTGCAGATACTTGGATTCAGTAAAGGCTGCCTTCCCCTCTGCCAGGGAAACTACAAGGGAGGAAATATAACAAAAAATGCTCTCCCAGACAGAATCCTTCAGTTTCTTAGTTCTGGCTGCTCCTGTCCCTTGGAAATGGCTGGTCATTGTAATGCACAGCTGGTCACTGTGAATGTATAAACCAATCCCCAACTGACAAGCTACTCTGCCTCTGTACTTGTTTGCTTATCCCATATAAGCCTCAACCACCACATATCCGGACCTGATATTCTGCAAATAGTCCTGATCATTACCTTTTGATGTAAATAAATACCTCCAAGTCCTGGCTGGGTGTCATCTTGGTGTTTCTGCTTGCCACTGCAGTCAAACAGTACTTTTACCAATTGTCAATTAACAATCCAAGCTTCTGATAGTTCTACATTAGGATTTTTATATGAAAATTAAGTATAATTCTTTGGCTCTAATAATTAACTCTTCCTCAGTGCTGGAAACTCCTTCTCCTCCTAAAAGAGTATTTCTTTTATATTAGGACTTTTCTAGCAGATTTCTACAAAGCTTCAGCAATGTCATTAAGCTATTGTGACTCATGTTCAACCAAAAATGACCAATGTCGTATTTCTAATATTCCTATAGATGGTCTGAACAGAGCCTTTCAGATGAGAGTGATATGCACATCTGTAATCCTAGCATTTGGGAGGCTGAGGCAGGATGATCACTGTAAGTTCAAGGCCAGCCTTAGCTATACTGTGATACCTTGTCTCAAAAATCAAAACAAAGGAGAGATGGCTCCGTAGTATAAGCACTTGCTGGCAAGGTCAAGGGCCTGAGTTCAATCCCCAGTTCCACAAAAAAAAAAAAAAAAAAAAATCAAAACAAAAAGAATCCTTTTCCTCTTATTAAGCTGTAATATGCAAATCAAACAATGGTAAGGAAAAAGAACTGTTGTCACAAACTATACACTTTATATAGTAGATGAAAATCAACACTGACAAAAATAATTTTCTCTTTGAACTTTGCTTCAATATATAGCCTTACCACCCTGAGCTTTGCTTCATTTTTCTCCCAAATAATCCAACCTCCAGCAGTCAATCTAAAAAGCAAGGAAAGCCAGGTGTGGTGGCATACACCTAGAATCCCAACACTTGGGAGGCTGAGGAAGGATGAGTACTACAAGTTCAAGGCCAGCCTGGACTACATAGTGATTTCTTTTTCTTGGTATCAGGAATTGAACTGCAAACCTTGTACTTGCCAGGCAGGCACCGTATCACTGAACTATGTCCCTGGCCATATGATTCCAAGGTCAACCTGAAATACATTATAAGACCCTGTCTCCAACATAACAAAAGAAAAGTCAAGCAAACAAAAAGAGAGAAAAAAGAAGAAAGGCAAGGAAGATTTCCTACCCAGGCCTAAATCCATAGTGCCAAGCTATGAATCACATCAGCAAGGATGAGAACACCAGGATTGTGAAACTCTGAAGCTAGCTGAAACTGCAGTGTTCCACATCTCCATCTCCATCATCTTTGGTTTTAGCATAAAATATACGCTTTTCACCTATCCTATTTGATACGTTCTAGCCCAGTGTAAACTACTGAATTACGACGATGGTCATCTAGTGTGGCTGAAGCCCTTAGAACACCAGCTTATCTTCCCAGTGACCACTTCCTCCTCCTTCTACCTCTCCCCTTTCACACACACACACACACACACACACACACACACACACACACACACACAGGAGACCCCACTCAGCTCCACACATGTAACGGCAACTGCCACTCTAACTCCACCCCTAGGAAAAGTCCACAAAAACCTCAGCTTGCTTTCTCTCAGGCTAGAGGATTTTGTCTGTGGAGTTAAGACTTCTTTTATCTTTCCTATCTCTTACTTGGACTGCTGAAAATCCTCTCACTTTTATCTTCATGTTTCTCTACCTCTCCCTTTTTTTCAACTTTTCACTGCTAAAAATCTCTCCACATGGCTGGGCCTGGTGACACACATATGTAATCCCATTACTTAGGAGCCTGAGGCATGAGGATCATGTGTGAGGCCAGCCTGGACCTACATAGTGAGGCCCTTTCTCAAAAACCAGAAAAGAAATAATAAAATAAAAATTCTTCTACTCACAAATTCCTCTATTCTACTTTTCTGGAGCTTTGCTCATGATAAATGACTGTACCCTTAACATCATTAATGAACATTCCTCCCCACATCCCCAACTTTTGACTTCTAAAGATGCCTCCTGCTTTCTTTCACAATGGAGGCTATTCTCCCAATTTTCACAACTAAAGTTAAGTGCTGGGCTCAATATGCTTTCCCTTGCTTCCTAGTTATTATTCCTTTATATTGCAAATGTTGAGTTAAATACACTTCTCTTCCTAGTATTTGGTCATTATGCCACACTCACTGATAATATCAGCATCTAAATCAGTGTGTCTTTCTCACTAGAAGGCCAGGTGTGGTGGCCTGGAATCCCAGCCTTCAGGATGCCAAGGAGGGAGGATGGTTGCTAGAGACCAGGCTGGGCTACAAAGTAAGTTCAAGGCCAGCCTGAACTGCATAGTGAAACCCTTTCTCAAAAAGACAAAAATAAGTAAATAAAGGCTATTAGAGGAAAGTACTCTTTACACACTCAGTGATGGAAAGAGGGCAAATCTAATGAAAACCACTGCCTGTAGTAAAGAAGCCTGAGGGCTGGGACGTAGCCTGGTGGCAGTGTTTACTCAGCATATGCAGGGCTCTAAGTTCAAAGCCTACTATAGGGTGTGGGTGGGGACCTGTTTTCTTTGTATTCAGAGGACCCACTTTAGAAAACTTACTGCATCAAATGTTAAGGATTTTATGTCTCCATCTGCTCCTGAAACATCCTTGTGAATGAAGTTCACATTGTCTGGCCATTCCTCTGCGTGACTTAATTTCCATGAATCACGCCAGTGTTTGTAATTCTTCTTAGCCACATCATGATGGTCTTTTCGTATTTCAAAACTTAGGACTCGTCCTTGGGATCCAACTAAAGTAAAATAATTCATGATATTTCAGTTTATTTTAAAAAGGATTGAGCATTTATTTTGCTAAGGTACTAAGCATGTAGAAAAACACTAGAACAGTTCATGGTCACCAAAGTCTTCCTTTGGTGATCCTTGATCACCACTCTTCCTCAGGGGCAGCCATTTACCCTTCCATGCTAGTTGGTGTCAGTACAGGTGGGCAGTGAAATACACTGTTCCATCCCTTCCCTCTCCCTATGTCATTCCAGCAGCTAAATTCCTTTTATTTTATTTTTACATTCCTTTTAGCAGCTATTATATTCCATTGTGTGGCTATTTCAAAATTTAGCTAACCAGCCACCTAATGATGAATATTTAGCTTATTTCTAGTCCTTTACTAATCAAACAATACTACAAGGAAAGTCTTCTGCCTATATTTTTGTAACATAAGCCAGTTTTTTTCTGAAAGATAAAATTCTACACATGGAATTGTGGCCTCAAGGTGTATGTGAATTTTTTTTGATGAGAAAATATTAGCAACTATTCTCCAAAAAGTGGTATTAACTTATACTTCTAAGAAATACAGTAAAGCACCTATTTTTCTATACCCTCACCAACAAAGAATTACCAAATTTTTTATGTGTATCAATCTAAAAAGTGAAAAATCTGGGTGTAGTGGTGCATGCCTATAATCCCAGCACTTAAGAGGCTGAGATGTGAGGTCGGCCTCGAGTTAGAGGCCTGCCTGAATTACAGAGCAAGACCTTGTCTCCAAAAAAAGTAAAAAAAGTTTATCACAGTAATTTTAACTTGGATGAGGTAGAGCCTACATATATTTATTTTTTTATGTATTTGGTACAGGGACTCACTACGCAGCTCCAACTCATACTGATCCTCCTGTTTTCAGCCTCCCCAGCCCTGGGATTACAGGTGTGCGCCACCACATCGACTCTTTCGCTAGGGACAGGGCCAGTATAGCATGCAGTAACCAGGACTGGTCCCCTGTCCCTACGCTTGCCCAGGCAGGCACTTAGTCTGCTGAGCTACGGCACCAGCCCTATTTTATTAAGGTGCTAAACAATACATCAGTTATTACTGAAGATACATCAACATGAAACAACACACACCTGGGAGAAAGGCCAACCCACTCTCAGAGACATACAGGAAATACCACAAGCAGCTGGGAAGCAGCATGCTAAAGGGGGACTGGGATGAAAGGAACAGTAAGCTCTAAGCAGCTAGCAAAATAGCCCAAAGAGCCCTTCATATTCAAAAGGTATTTGTATACATGCATCTGAAGTATTTTCAAATTGTTTAGCATAGTAATACTTTTAATTCCAGAGAACACTAATATATATCTTAAGGCAGTTAATTTTATTTATTTGTCTTTTTGAGACAGCATCTCACTATGCAGTTCAGGTTGGACTTGAGATCACTTTGTAGCCCAGGCTGGTCTTGAACTCACAACCATCCTCCTGCCTCAACCTCCCGAGTGCTGGGATTACAGGCATGTGCCACTATGCCTTGCTAGGGCAATTAATTTTCTTTCTTTCTTTCTTTCTTTCTTTCTTTCTTTCTTTCTTTCTTTCTTTCTTTTTGGTGGAACCGGGGATTGAACTCAGGCCCTTGCGCTTGCCAGGGAAACGCTTATTCCACTGAGCCATCTCCCCGGACCCTAGGGCAATTAATTTTCTATCCACTTCTGAGATAACCTGATTCCATCTGGATCAATCCATCTGATTCCATCCCAGATCAATCTGTCTATAGTTTCCTAAGGAAAATTTTAAATTCCAGGATATGTCTTGAAATATAATAGCAGTTGCAACTTACCATGTTCTCAGGGAATAAAATTAATGGTAGTATAGGCTAAATGACTGGGAAACATTAGTGGAGGAAAAATAATCATCTCCATGACAAATACCATTAACTTCTTGATCATTCGTGCTCTGGGATTATTCATGCCATGACAATCCTCTGACAACACAAATGTGGCCACTTCTCCTCCTTCACTCATTTTTTCTGCCCGCTGGGCCTTGAGTTTGAACCTAAGGCTTTCAAGCTGAGCTACAGCCCCGGCTCTTTCTGCTTAGTTGCTAAATCGCCCGGGCAGGGCTGACACTTGTGGTTCCCCTACTTCAGTGTCTTATAGTACTGGGATTACAGGCGCCATGATGCTCAGCTGCATCTCTAAAACTTTTCCTTGTTAAAAAAATCTACTTTGTCAAATGAAAACATTTATCTAGCAATTTATATAAACTGTGAAAAAATGACTGGCTCTGCTTAAGTACAGAAAAGAGTCAAACAGGGCCAGCCAGATAGCTCAGCTACTGAAGTGCCTGCTTAGGCAGAGTGCAGCAGTAGGGGTTTGATCCACAATGTGCTGTACAAGTCCCATTCCAGGGGCACGCTGTGACAGTGATTGAGACTGGGCATAGTGGTGCGTGCCTGTAATCCCAGAGCTTGGGAGGCCGAAAACAGGAAGATGACTACAAGTACAACTTATGTAGTGAGACCCTGTACACCCTGTACTAAATATAAAAATAAAGAAAGAAAAAGTTAAAAGATTCGAGATCAGAAGGAATTTACTGAATAAGCGTTATAAAAATTATGTTTGTATGTGATGGCAAAAGGTCAAAGAGTAAGATGTGTAAGTTTACTGTTAGTATATTTTTACCTTTAAAATTTTACTTATTTTTAATGTATTTGGTTATTACAGGGTCTCACTATGCAACCTGGACTCATAGTGATCCTCCTGCTTTCAGCCTCTCCAGTGCTACGATTACAGGCATGTGCCACTGTGCCTGGACTCTGTGGCCTGCTCAGCTCTCTCTGGGAGCATGGCTGGCATGGCATGTGGTGCCTGGGATTGAACCGCAGTCCCTGTGCTTGCCTAAACTGGCCTAAGCAGGTGCTTTAGTCCACTGAGCTATCTCACAGGCCCCTTTATCTTTAGATTGTATGACATTTACCCAAAGGGGATGCTGTGACTGTTCAGGAGCCTATTATTAGGTAAGAAGGGAATATGCATGGGTAACCAGATCAGCCAAGACCCCAAAGAAGGATTAAGTGGCCAAAGGGGGCACTAACAATTATGATGACATTAACCAGAGATGAGGTGGCAGAACATGATGTTTACTACATACATTTATGTTTACTACATACCTCTTGGCTTTCTTTGTTTTGTTTTTTGGTACCAGGAATCCAACTCAGGATTTTGTGCTTACTAAGCAGGTACTGTGACTCTGAGCTAAATCCCCAATCTACCTCTTGATTTTTGATAAAACATCTACTTCAAGCAGTACTTTTTCCAAACTATAATTTTTAGAGGCTTTTTAAAAAACATTTTTCATAATCCAACTTTAACTTAATATATATGAGGTATGCTTACTATGTATCAATGATAGTGCTGGATTGATTTCATTCATTTATGACTGCCAATTACAGTCTTCTGTCCCTAACAGCACATAATTATCCCTCAGGATGGGGCACACCTATTCTTCCTACATCAGTGATGGTAAAGCTTTTAGTGAGGAGTGCCCAAACTGTAACCTATTATCCACTTATTTATCATAATGCCAACCCTGCAATTAACCTGAATGCTCACATGCTGGGGTGCTGCTGAGGCCACTCAGCTTGCGTAACAAGAGAGGGCTCTGCGTGCCCGCTGTGGAATAGCTCACCACACCGTCTTTCACTCTCTCACCCTGAGTATTCATCTAGCAATACTATTCAACAACATAGATACACATGCACCAAAAGCGTACAAATACTCAAAGCAGTGCTATTTGTAACATCCAACTCAAATGTCCATCAATAGTAGAACTAATCAATTATAGTATACAGTAACTAAAATGAAAGAACTGCTCTAGGACGGCTGAATCCCACAGATGTAATGACAAAAGCAGCCAGATATAAACAGGTACATGCTGCCTCATTCCCTTGATATAAGGTGCAACACTAGCTGGTGGTGGCCAAAGGCAGAACAGAGGTTTTCCCTGGAGAGGAAGAGGCTCAGAGAGGTCATGAGGAGGCAGCATCTGCGTTGCAGGGATCTTCCCTACCTTCATCCAGGTACTATGTATGTGTGGGAACTATATAAAGGTTATCATCGGTGCACTTTCCAATAGTCATGTTCTGAAAAGGTGTACTTAACAGCTAAATGCGGTAATGCATATAATCCCAGCACTCTAGGAGACTGACTAGAAGGTGACAAGTTTAAGCTAGGGCTGGGGATGCAGCTCAGTGCTAAGGCCTTGGGTTTAATCTATAATACCACCAGAGGCGGTAAAAAGTAATCTAAACCAGGAGTGGTGGTTGGTGCACACTTTAATCCCAGTATCCTGAAAGGCTGAACCAGGAAAACCACAAATTCAAGCACTGAGTGTGATGGCACATGTTTGTAATTTCAGAATTCAGGAGGCTGAGGAAGGGGGTTTGCCACAGGCAGGCCCCGTCACAAACACGAAAACAAAACAACAGAACAAAAAGTAGATGTGTTAAAGAGTGTGCAGCAGTGAGAAGCAAAGAAAGTAGAACATTAGAAAGTGTGACAAGAATCCCTGGAACCACATGCCATGCCACTTCCACCCCTGGGCCAGTGTGATGAGCTGGCCTCTGAGACTGGGCGTGGTGGTGCACACTGTAATCCCAATGCTGGGGACAGTGCAAACAGGAGGATCACTAGGCGTCTGGGCTGCGCAGTGAGACTCTGTACCAAATGCATAAAATGAAAAAAGAAAAAAAAAGAAAGTGTGACAAGAACATATGTATGAACTAGAAAAACAGTTGTTTCCATTTGATTTTGAGGACAATGCTATCACAAAGATATGTATGTCTTTGAATATCATTATCTATTATCATGAACAGATTTAGCTCACTTATCCCAACCGCTTACCTGCTTTGGATAAAAATAAACTCATTCCACCAGAGCCAGAGCCAGCTTCTAGAACAGTATCGCCTGGGTTCACATCCATCATCATCAGTACCGTATTCACATCCTACAAGAGACCGTGTGGGAGATTTAGTGAATCTAAGAAATACATCCTATGGACCCATTCTATACTATGTTTGAGAAGAGAAGGAAACAAAACAAACCAAAACCCTGCCAACAAAGAATCTGTATTTTGTGTGATAAAATAAGATTTAACAACAAATCAGCATCTGTGTGTGGTGGTGCTGCCTGCAATTCCAGCACTGGGGAGCCTGAGAATTACCAAGAGCTGAAGGTCAACTTGGGCTACATATCTTAGTGAAAGGACCAAGAAAGTAAGAAAGTTATTCTTAAGGGATTTCCATTGAATTCAACGTCAGCCTGAAATATATGAGACTCTGTCTTACAAAAAAAAAAAAAAAGGAATTCACAAATAAGCTAACACTTCAAAATTAGAAAAGTTAGAGACTGGGCTTGGTGACGTGCACCTGTAATCCCAGCTCTTGAGAGCCTACAAGCAGGCGGATCACTATGAGTCCGATCTAGTTGTGAGACCCTGAACACCTTGTAGATCCTTCCCTAAAATTAAAAAAAAAAAAAAAAATTAGAAAAGTTATAAACAATAAGAACAATAGGAATTTAAAAAAAGAAGAAAACAGCAGGGTGCCCTAGCTCAAAGATGCAGAGTGGAGAATTTAAAGAAGAAAACACATACAGAATAGACACAGACATTAACACCACTCTGAGTTTGAACCTGGCTCATCAAACAAGTGGAACACATCACTAACATATCATAAATCACATCCTATAAAGATTAACCTGTTGGCTGACCAGATAGCTCAGTGGACTAAGTGACTACTTAGGTAAGTGCAGGGGCCAGGGTTCCAACCCCAGCACCACATGCCATACGGGCCCCACACTACCCAGCACTCTGAGCTGGTCACTCAGACCAGGCACAGTGGTGCACGTCTGTAATCCTAGCACTGGGGAGGCTGAAAACAGGAGGATCACTATGAGTCCAAGCTGCGCAGTGAGACCCTGTGCCAAATACATTAAAAAAAAAAAAAAGGAAGGGCAGGACAATCCAGGATGTGCTAGACATAGGTGAAAGACAGGAAACCCAGCTTAGAAGTTACTATACATCCTTTGCTCGCATTTTTTTTTTTTTTTGGAACTGGTAATCGAATTCACAACCTTGCACTTGCCAGGCAGGCACTTGTGCTATTGAGCTATATCCCCAACTGTGGGAAGCCATTAACTGGTATCCATTTTATAATAGTGTCATTTTCTTAAGTTTCGATTCCCCTGCTGAGTTAAGTTTCTGGTCCTTCCCACCTTGCCCATTCCCCATGATATGCCCCAGGGGTGGGACCTTCCTCCATTGCCTAGATACAGGCTGACTCCCCCCCCCCCAAGAGCTGAGACTTCCTCATTCCTACACTCCCTATATATACCCAGCACCTCCCCTGCATAAACGAGACTTGATCAGAATCCTGTCTTGTCTCCATTCTTTGTGTCTCCTGTCCCTTCTCATCCCCACTCCCCCTCTAGGGTCCTCGTTGACTAATCGGCGAGTCGGGACACCCAACCCTCTGCTTGAAATCTTGAACTTCTTTTTCTGAACTTTTAATTTAGAATTAAGATATAAGAACGTGGTGGTGCATGCCTATCATCCCAGTGCTTACGAGGCTGAGGCAGGAGGATCACTGCAAGTTCAAGGCCAGCCTAGGCTGCAAAAACAAAGAGAGTTCAAGTCCAGGCTGTGCTACACAAGAAAACCCTATCTCTCCCCACCACCCACAAAAAAAAGATTAGAGGACCCAAATGCCAAATACTATAATTGGTTTTGTTAATGCAACAGGAATGTTATGAATGATAATTGTTTATTAAAACTGCACCATTCAGGAGGCTTCTGCAACCATGCAAACTGTTTTCACACATTCTCTTTCAATCATAATAACAATAACCAGCAAAGTATCATCTCTGTTACAAAAATAAGAAATCACATTGCTGGGCATAGTGACACATGCCTGCAATCTCAGTGCTCAGGAGGCTGAAGCAGGGGGTTCACTGAGAGCTCAAGGCCAGCCTAAGCTACCTTTAAAACAAAACAAGCAAAAAAAAAAAAAAAAAAGAGAGAGAGAGAGAGAGAGAAATCACAGGTTTAGTAATTTGTTTAAGTCACACCACCAGGACAAAAAAAAAGTCAAGCATAATGATGTTGTACTCTGAAGACCTTGCTAGTAACCATTCCACCAAATACTATTCCAAGAGAATTTTCTTTTATGTATTTAATATAGGGTCTATAGGATGTCACTACACAATTTGGACTTGTAGTGAGCCTTCCTGTTTTTCAGCCTCCCAAGTGCTGGGATTACAGGTGTGTGCCACCACGCCCAGTCACTGTCTCAGTGGCCCAGTCGCTGTCTCATTGTGCCCCAGGGATGAGGCCGGTACAGCAGGCCGGGGATTGAACCCCTGGCTCCTGTGTCTCCCTAAGCAGGCCCTTTAATCTGCTGAGCTATTTGGCCAGCCCTTAGAGAAAATTTTCAACATCAGCAATTCTTTCCACATTTCCCCAATACTGAATCTTTCAAAGTTGTTCACAGGCAGCACATCTGATAAGATCTTACTGTTTCCTTTCTGCAGAAGTTGCTAATGAAGATTCTAAAAGGAGGGGATTTTTAGGATCCTTCTGCCTAGTCACGACTAAGTTGTAAATGAAACACAATTTTGTGCACATGGGTACTAATAAATAAAAAGCAAATATAGTTTTGCTTGCAGAACATAAATAGTTAGCAGGTATGGTTATCTAATTAAAGGCCAAAATGTATTTTCTGAAAACAATGGACTAAGATCTGAACCAAACTACACAGGCACACAATTTTGAAGCCTGATGAGTCAAAGTTGCATTCCCAAATGCCATCCTTTTGGGTACCCACATCCTGTCCCTTGTGCCAGGCTCCTTGGGTAGCTGGAAAGCCCTTGAGAATGTACTTCAATTTTCTTGACTCTTTTGGATAAGAAACAGAAACCAAATACATTATTTCTAAAAGATAGCTGAACAGAATTTAGTTTCTGCTTCTTCATAGTCATGTTGCATAATCTCAGCAGGATTAATTTTCTAGTTTGGATCACACTATTTAAACAATTTCAATCCAAAATGCGGGTGAAACATTGGCATTTATTCATTTTCTGCTCTTTCCAAATACATTTGAGGCTCCCAGCAGCCTCCAGTTATGAAATACCATTCTACTAAGTTTTCTACAATTATTTATTTTGTGAGGCCAGGGATGAAAGCCAGGGCCTGTATACTTTACATTTATGGCTCTTGTCATTTATTTATTTATTTGGTACAGAGTTCCACAACACAGCTCAGACTTATAGCGATCCTCCTGCTTTCAGCCTCCCCAGCACTGGGATTCCAGGCCTGTGCCACCCCTCCACACCTGGGGATGGGGCAGGCTTGACATGTGATGCCTGCGATCTAACCCTGGTCCCTGTGGCTTGCCTAGGCAGGGGCTTAGTTTGCTGAGCTATCTCTCCAGCCCTTTATTTTATTTTATTATATTATTACTTTTTTTTTTTAAGCAGAACTGGGGACTGAACTCAGGCCCTTGCGCTTGCCTGGCAAGCACTTATTCCACTGAGCCATCTCCCCGGCCCTAGCCCTTTATTTTAATCTAGTATTTCATTAAGTTTCTAAGTTGCCTGGGCTGGGCTCAAATTTCCAGTCCTCCTGCTTCAGACTCCCAGAATGCTGGGACTGAAAAATATTCACTAGCACACCTGGCCAACTCTGGAATTTTGTTTTGTTTTTTGAGACAGGGTCTCACACTGTAATTCAGGCTGGTCTTGAACTCATTATGTAGCCAAGGATGGCTTCAAACTCGTCAATTCTCCTGCCTCTGCCTCTTTCCTCTTGAATGTTGGGATTACAGGTGTGTGCCACCACATCTGGCTAACTTTGGGCTTTATTTATTTTGCAGTACTGGGATCAAACTTAGGACATTGCTCATGCCAGGCAAGCACTTATGCCACTGAGCTGTCTCCCTGGCACTGGGCTCTTATTTTTTTCTCTTTAGGTACCAGGGACAGAACTCACAAATGCTTGTCAGGCAGGAACTTAATGCCACTGAGCTGTCTTCCTGGCCCTAGTCTGTGTTATTTAATTTTTTTTAACTTTGGGCTTTTAAAGAACCATTCTAGACTTGACTTTTTATTTTTTTTGTGGAACCGGGGATTGAACTCAGACCCTTGTGCTTGCCAGACAAGAGCTTATTCTACTGAGCCATTTCCCTAGCCCCCTGACTTTTTTAAAAGAGGAATTCTAACCTCTTTTTTTTTTTTATTTTAGGGAAGGGTCTACAGGCTGTTCAGGGTCTCACTACGAGATCAAACTAGTAGTGATTCTCCTGTTTACAGCCTCCCCAGTGCTGGGATTACAGCACGTACCACCATGCCCAGTCTCAACTGCCTCCCAGTCTCAATTGCCATCTCAGTGCACCCCAGGGGCAGGGCCAGCAAGGAAGGCCCAGGGATTGAACCCCAGCCCCTGCGCCTGCTTGCAGGCACTTTAATCCACTGAGCTATTTGGCTGGCCCTCTAACCTTTTTCTTGATTAAATCAAGAATATAAATTTAATCCTCAGGGGCCGGGGAGATGGCTCAGTATAACCAGCGCTTCCCTGGCAAGCACAAAGGCCCGAGTTCATTCCCTGGTTCCGCAAAAAATAAAAATAGGTAAATAAATATAATCCTCACCCTAAGGTTTTGATATTTGAGTTGCATTTTAGTTATTAAGTGATAACAATTTTACTCTGTCCTTACGTAACAATTATAATCATTACAGTCATGCTAGTCAGCAGAAAAAAATTAGAAAATTTGAGCATTGTTGTTGCCATTTATAGGTTTACTCCAAATAAAAAGTGCTTGGGGGCTGGGGAGATGGCTCAGTGGAATAAGTGCTTTCCTGGCAAGGGTAAGGGCCTAAGTTCAATCCCTGGTTCCAGGAAAAAAAAAAAAAAATTAAAAGTGCCTGATTACTGGGTATGGTGGCACACACCTGTAATCTCAGTACTCTCAAAGCTGAGGCAGGAGTCATTGCAAGTTTGAGGCCATCGAGGGCTTAAAAAAAAAAAGACAAACTGTAAATTTCCATCAAGAATTTAGATACTCTGACCACATCAATCTAATGCCTCTGAGGAAAATTTTTTGAATCTTGGGAAAAACTTTGGTTTTTTTGGTTAAGGGTGGGTAGTTTGAGACAGGATCTTTCTCTGCATCTCACCTGGTCTAGAATTTGTGATCTTCCTGTATCAACCTCCCAAGTGCTGGGATTACAGGAATGGGCCACCATACCTGGCCACATTACTTTAATAAATTGGCATAATCTTCATTCACAGGTAAGGAAATTGCAAATACCAAATGAAAATTAAACTTTAGCTGTGACCGGGTATGTAGCACACTGCTGTAACCTAGCACTCTGAGAGGCAGAGGTAGGATTCCAAATTGAGCCCAGCTCAGGGAATTTAGTGATATCCTGTCTCCAAAAACAAAGGCTGGGGATGAAACACTGAAGTTGTAGCTCAGTGCGAAGGCCCTGGGTTCAATCCCGAGCTGTTTGAAAGAAACAATGCTTGTTTTCCTTATTTTTTTCTTAAGATAGTTTTGCTCTGTAATGTAGGCTGAGTTTATGTAGCCCAGACTGGCCTCGAACTCATGGTGACCCTCATGTCTCAGCCTCACTAGCACTGTGATTACACACGTGCCCCACCAGGTCTGGCTTGTGACTTTTTCTTTCTTTTGTGTGTGTGGCCAGCTCAGCCAGCCCTGTGGAGGGGGCTGGAGCAGCATGTGGTGCCAGGGATCGAACCGTGCTCTCTGTGCTTGCCTAAGCTGGGGCTTTAGACTGCTGAGCTATCTCACCAGCCCCAAGCTTGTTTCTTCTTAAAATTATAATGAAAAATACAAATATAGCTAGGTGTAGTGAGTTTAATCCCGGCTAATCTGAAAGAGCTAGCAGAACCATAAATTCCAGGCCAACCCTGAAAATGTAGCAAGACCCTACTTCATTACATTACCTTTGGGTACGTTATGGCAGGCCCTCTTTTCATCAATAATACGTAGTCATCCAATGCTGGCCTCCGCAGCATAAAACGCTTACCAAGAGAACTTGTCAGTATCTGGCCAGGGAACTTCCCCACGATCTTGGTGAACGGGACTGACCCCCACGAACTATTTAAGTGTCCGACGTTGCTCAACCTAAATAACTTTTTAAAATGAGTTTCTCTCTTCCCAGTCTCAGCTAAAATCAGCTCCCCAGTTCGAAAAGGTCCCTCTCTTGGAGATGGGCAGGAAGGGGGGACATAAGGCTCTTCAGCCTCGCACGTGGCCCGAGCCAGGGCGGGCAGCGAGGGAAAGCCGGAGTCCCAGTGTAAGGAACCGGGCTGGTTCTGCTCTCCGCTGGAGTCCCCACGATCCCGAGGGATTGACACCTCCCGCGACGGCCGCAGTCTGAGGCTTTCCGGCGACGAAAGACCTCCGAAGCCAACGTCCCGGCCGCGGAAAGGGAGAGATGGGGCCGACTCGGACCCCGCGGCTTCCCTTCGTGCCGCCTCGACCTCTGGCTCTGCATCCCGTACGTCTCTAGGCGAGGACTCGCAACACAGTGGCTCGGCTTCCACAAAAGACTGCGGCCGAACGGGGCGCAGAAATGAATGAGTCCCAAATCGCGGCCACCTCCAAAGATGCGTCAGCCCCAGCATCTCGGGACCGCGCCGCCCAGCTGCGAGCATCGGATCCTGCGCAGTCGCGGTCGCAGGCCTGTGACGTAACGGACGCGGCCCCGCCTCTCGCCGCGCGCAGGGCGCCGCTCCCGGGGCTTTCCTGGAGGCGCGCGTGACTGCGCCGCGAAGCCGGGAGTTTGTGCGACCCTGTGGCGCAGGTGTCGTGTCCTCCCCGTGCGGGGGGGGGAGGGGGGGAGTGGAGTGAGTAAATAATTTAGCCCGGACAATCTCCACCAGCCTTGCCCGGACACAGGAGGGTACGAAAGACAAAACTTGTCGAAGTACCGTATAGATTAAAATTCTCCTAGCAGACTTGGCTCGTGATCCTCCTGAACGCGAGCGTCTGCTCCTGTAAGTTCCTTTCACCTGGACTGTGGCACCTGTCTGACCTTCCATTCTGTCGCCGCCGCCTCAGGCTAAGGATCCAGAAAGTCTTATTGCTTAAGGTGACAGACAGTATTCATTATGTGCTTATTCATCAGAATTTTTTTTTAAATTAAAATACAACATTTAGTCTAGACGTGGTGGCGCACGCCTGTAGTAGTCCAGGACCTGCACTCGGGTGGCTGAGGCAAGAATCCTGCGAGTTTGAGGCCAGCCTAGCCTGCACAGTGATATCCTGTCTCAAACCCAAGCAACAACAAAAACCCACCTAAATAAAAGGGTCTTAAAATACAAAACGGTGTCTGGGCTCCAAAGTTGACATTAAATGTGATTAGTCTGTCTGCTTAATATTCATTGTTTTCCAGAAGTTTATTGAGAGTCTGGCAGCACCAGGCACGTTTTTCTATCCATCCATCCGTCGGCCCATCCGCCCGTCAGTCCATCCATCCATCCTGAGCACTGACAATTGTAGCACTGAGCTGTACACCCAGTCTGGAATTTAGGATTCTCCTGCCTCAGTTTCACGAGTTGCTAGCATTGTAGGCATGAGCCATCAACTTGGATTAGACTCTGATTTAAATTTACAACCTTGGTAGAAATGAGTATCCTGTTTGGTATAGGAGGACGCTTATCAAGGGCGTTAAATAATGTGGGTAGAATCTCTGAAAAGATAGCTGACAGTTGGAATGGCAGAGTTTCCAACCTAGGTCAAATACATTCAGCAGCCTTTGAACCATAACGCCCTTTTCATAAAGACCTGCCAACAGTGCAATTGAATTTAAAGTCCAAGAATGATTAAAGGGCCATGGATTCAAAATCAATTCAATTTAAAGTTAATAAAATAAATTTTGTTATTACTGTCTAGGACATAAATTTAATACTTTCTAGGGCCAGTATATAGCTCAGTGGCACAGTGCCTGCCTGGCAAGTGTAAGGTCCTGAGTTTGAGTCCCAGTACCAAAAATAACCCTTCTAATTTGTGCTTTGGAGGACATCAGCCACCATAAACTCCACCAGTAGGGTTGTCTCTTTTCATCATAAAAAGGAGTAAGGAAATTGCTATCTACTCCAGCTGCCTGCCTTTATCTATCTATCTATCTATCTATCTATCTATCTATCTATCTATCTATCTGACAAGCTGTTGATCTCTAAATTGCTCAGGTTTGAGCTGTTGTAACAAACCACTATAACTACAATGGCTTTTCTTTTTTCTTTTTTTGGACCAGGACTTGAACTCAGGAGCTTGCCATGCAGTCATTGTGCCAAGGAGCCATAACCCTGGCCCAATCAATGGCTTAAAGCAACAGGATTGTGTCTCCACAGTTCCAGAGCCTGGGAGTATTAGCTGGACCAAGCTTCCTCGAAAGCCTCTAGGGCAGGATGTGAGGGCGATCTGGCTGCGAAATGTGTCACCCCATTGATTGCCAGGGTTGATTTGGCTGATTTGGCTTGCCTAGGCAAGGCTCTCCTTCCTCCATCAACATTCCACGTGCCACCCTCCAACCCTCCGACCCTCCAACCCTCTGACCCTCCCTGTCTCTTGGAGAGAACTCCCACCCCCAGGAGAGGAGCACTGGAGCCTTAAAGCCTCTAGGGCAGATTGAGTGTGTGGCACTGAGCCAGAACTGGGGTATTGCTAATGTTAGGCAAGCACTCTAGCTACCCTAACCTCTGGAGGAGAATTTTTTTGCTTCTTTCACCTTTCCTGTTTTGTTTTGTTTTTTTTTTTTTTTTTTTAATTTCCTCAGTTTTTGTTCTGGACTTTCTCTGACTTTGTTGGTATTTGGGGGTTTTTTTTGGGTTTTTTTTGTTTTGTTTTGTTTTTTCTGGAACCAGGGATTGAACTCAGGGCCTTTCACTTGCCACGCAAGCGCTTATTCCACTGAGCCATCTCCCCGCCCGTGGTATTTGTTTTTTCTCTTGTTTTTGTATCGTTTTTTAAATTCATGTTATTTATTTATTTATTTTTGTCTTTTTGAGACAGGGTCTCACTATCCACCACACCAGGCTGAAGCCCATTGTTAAAAGAAAACAACATATTTTTAAGATGGGAAGAATAATAGTATGCTTACATGTTGATGAGAAAGACAAATATTGATACTGACAAAGTCAAGTAAAATTTTTTTTTTTTTTTGGTGCCAAGAATTGAACTCAGGACCTTACACTTGCCAGCACTTATTCCACTGAGCTATCTCCCCGACCCCATGTAAGAAGTTTTTAAGTAATAGCCTTGAGAGGGCAAAGGTCATCGCATGGGATGGACCTAGAAATTGATATATCTAAGTACCAAAGTGTTAGCTGTACAAACTTTGCATGCATTCCTTGGATAAGATCATCAGTAACCAAAGGTAATTTGGATAGGATTAGCTCTCTTGTGGCCAATGAGATAGCTCAGTAAATAAGAGCTTGCTTGGCAAGCACAAGGGCCTGAGTTCAATTCCCTGTTCCGCTAAAAAAAAAAAAAAAAAAAGGGACCCTAGCTCTCTTACTCTCTGAAAAAGAAAATAAAGATACTGATAGTTTCTACACTGTAGAGCTGTTGGGACAAGTAAATGAATCCATATAGTGCCTGGCATATGGTAAATGCACATTAAACTTTTGTATTTGTATATTTATTACTAACAAACCTGTAACTCTAGCTCAGCGCCTTTTCACATGCAGACTCGTATCTGCTCTATTTTATTTTTTATTTTTTAATTTATTTACTTTTTTTTTTCTTTTGGCAGAACCGGGGATTGAACTCAGGCTCTTGCGTTTGCCAGGGAAGTGCTTATTCCACTGACCCATCTCCCCGGCCCCTCTGCTCTATTTAAAAAAAATCTTTTACACAGGCCCACACTGGCTTTAAACTCACTATGTATTCCAGGCTGGGATCAGACTCAGTGATTCTCCTGTTTCAGCCTCCAGGATGCCAGGATAATATATGTGTGCCACCACACTTGGCCTTCTTCTCTTTTATAACAAAATTCTTTTAAAAGTCACCAAGGACCTTGATTTTGCCAAGTGCTCTAGTTAAGTCTTTATCTTACCATAGCTTTATCATGTCTTGCTTCTGAATTTGTCATAAAAGTTTGGTTTTCAGGGCATCTTAATTCTTCTGGACTTTCATCCTGCCTCCTGTTACCTCCTTGTCTGGATTACTATTCTCTTTTCTGGGACAAAATATCCAACATCCAAAATGAAGGAAGGAAAGGTTTATTTAGCTCACAGTCAGCGGAAGTTTCAGTTCATATTCAGCTGGCTCCAAAACAGCGTGACACATGTGAAAGAGCAGCCATTTATGGCAGTGGCAAAGAGCAAGTGAGCAAAGGCAGGAGCAGCAGCAACGATGGCCAGGGAGCAGGTCTGTTTCCCTTATGTTACATTTAGGCTGTCTGCCCCGGGCTGGGGGCAGAACTCAACACCCATAATCCCGGGAGCATTTACACCCATAATCCAGGTGGATCATGAGTTCATCACAAACTCTAGAAGTCTGCATGAAGCTTTGCGGGGGACAACCAGACACAAGCCATAACACCCCTTCTCAGTCTCCTTTGCTGGTTCCTCCTCCTTCCCTGACCTGCTGGTTTGGTACTTAGTTGTCCTTTTGTTCTCCTGCAACATAACCTTTCTAGTTCCATGGTTTCAATGGCATTGTATGCTAACATGGCCACCACTGATGTCTCTAATTGTAGCCAGGTGTGGTGTGCACGCCTGTAATCCCACACACCGAGTTTGAGGCAGGAGGATCACTGTGAGTTCAAGGCAAGCCTGGGCTCATTGAGTTCAGGGCTGGTGTCAACTACATAGTGAGACCTTGTCTCAAACAAAACAAAACACAACAAAACAAAAAAAAACCAAACTAATTGCAATCCACTCCAATTCATATAATGAAATTATCATTTGTTTCCTCAGATTCTATCTCTTTTGGGGGGGGGGTCAGGGTCTTACTTTGTTGTCTACGCTGGCCTTGAACTCACTCTGTGGCCCAAAGTACCTGGAACTCAGGTGATCCTCCTGCCTCAGCCTGTCAAGTGCTGGGATCATTGGTGTGTGCTGCCATGCCCAGCCCTGTTGTGTTTCAGGTATCTAGCTAGAGTAGTGCCTGGATCACAGCAGACTTCAGTTTAAGTGACTGAATGAGCCAGGTCCATGCCTGTAATCCCAGGACTCAAGAGGCTGAGGCAGGAGGATCCTTGTGAGTTCGAGACCAGACTGGGCTACAAAGTGAGCTCAAGGCTAGCCTGAACAATTGTAGAGTGAGATCCTGACTCAGAGAACAAAAAAAATAAAAGTGACTGTTGGAACTTAAGTGCTACTAAAGATGGTTTTCTTCCACAAACCAGCCATTCTTCCAGGATTCACCATCCTAAGCAAACTTTTTTCATACCAAGACTTGAACTCAGTACCTTGTGCTTGCAAGGCAGGTGCGTGCTGCTGAGTTATCTCCTCAGCGCCCCTCCCCACCAGTGAATTTGATCACCAAATACTGGCATGCTGAGGAGAGTCGTTATCCTTGACCTTTCTGCTCTCTCATTAACAACTTGAAACCTGTTTGTTCCTTGTGCTTAATAAATGTCCCTTGACACTCTTCTCCAGTCTACTTGGTTAGTGGATGGTGGGACCTCAAGACTCCCCTGGCTTCCTTCTAATGTATTTGTCACACTGTTTCTGACTTTTGTTTATTTTTATTTATGTATTTGGTACAGGATCTCACTATGTAGCTGGGACTCGTAGTGATCCTTTTTTTTTTT